CTCATGAGGGAGGGGGTAGTGGGGAGGGAGGGGAAAAAATGAGGACCTGATGCCAGGGGCTTAAGTGGAGAGCAAATGTTTTGAGAATGACGAGGGCAATGAATGTACAAATGTGCTTTACACAATTGATGTATGTATGGGTTGTGGTAAGAGTTGTATGAGCCCCTAATAAAATGATTTTAAAAAAAAGAATGATGAGGGCAATAAATGTACAAATGTGCTTGACATAATGGATGTATGTATGGATTGTGATAAGAGTTGTATGAGCCCCATTAAGTGATTTAAAAAAAAAAAAAGGATGGCCATGATGATGAGGCAACTGTGGTGGGCAGAGGGTGAGACTCAGGTGAGAGGCTGGTGAGTGGCCAGGGTACAGAGATTCACAGTGGTCCTCCGTGTCCACAGCTCAGAACGTGACCGTGGACGAGGTTGTCGGCGCCTACAAGCAGGCCTGCCAGAAGCTGAATTGCCGGCAGATCCCCAAGCTCCTCCGGCAGCTCCAGGTGGGGCAGCGTGGTGGCCCAGCCATAAAGACAAGAAAAGCCTTTTTCCTCTCCTGCCCCGGAGCCCCTGGGTGGAATCCCTGGTGTGTCAGCCCTCTGCCTTTGTACAGGCATCGCCCGTTGTTACTGAGCAGGGTCTCCTGGCACATCTGCAGCCTGCCTCATGGATGCTGCACGCTGCCTCTGTACCTGCCTTTCCTGCTGTGGTCCCTGCTTGCTTGTTCCCCGTCCTTCTTCCCCTAGCACCTGGGTTAGCCTTTCTGTGGGGCTCCCGGAAGTGCCAGGCCCTCAGTGTGGCAGCCAGGGGCATGGGCACCCCTCCCAGCTCACGTCCTGGGGTTTAGCCCTGGTTCAGACCCTCGCTTCCCCAAGCACTGCTTCCCCTCAAGCTGAGGGGCCCCAAGTAGGCGAGGGGTGGCAGTGTGGGAGGCCTGGCTTGGCTACTGCCGGGCCCTGGGGGCTTCCTGTCCTCATAGCTGACTACTCTCTCCAGGAGTTCTCGGACCTCGGGCACCGCGTTGACTGTCTGGACCTGAAAGGTGTGTGTTTGGGCAGGGCCGGCTCTGTAGTGAGCAGGTGTGCATGTGCCTGCATGCTCGCTGGACACCTTAGTCCACGGCCGCTCTATCTGCCCCAGGTGAGAAGCTGGACTACAAGGCCTGCGAGGCCCTGGAGGAGGTCTTCAAGAGGCTGCAGTTTAAGGTCGTGGACCTGGAGCAGACGAACCTGGACGAGGATGTGAGCCGCCCACTCGGGAGCCTCTGGGGTCCTGAGGCTGGGGGTGGGGTGACGCTGGTGGGAGGAGGCAGCCCCCTTGGATAGAGGTTTGGGGGTGGGACAGGGCCTCTTGAAGGTTACAATAGGGGAGCCCCTAGAAGCCCCCTGGAGCTGGAAGCACTTGTGAACAAAGGAGAGCGAGAGAGTGGGGACTGGGAGCCCATCACCCGGGGACAGCATCCTGCTCTATCAGCCTACAGGGGTGCTGGAGCAACACCCCAGAGCAGCCTCCCATGTCGGGCCCTGGTGTTCCTGCCTCCCAGGTTTTAAGGTGGCCAGGAGTCCAGGGTCTCTAGCTGGGATTAGAGGAAAATGGGCCCAGGACAGCAGAGGCCTGGCCTGAGCGGGTGCAGGACCTTGCTGGGTGGCAGGTGCCAAAAAGACTGGTTTCCCATGACCAGGAGGTCCCAGCACCATTGTGCCGAGGTGTGGCTAGACCTGGGTATGTCAGCCTCACTTCCAGGGGGCACTTTCTGTCCACCCCTGTGCTTTTCCCCAACCGCAGGACCCCACAACTGTTGGCCCCTGGGCTCAGGCACAGGCTCTCTAGGGCATTGTGAGCAGAGGCTGAGCCCCGGCCATTGTCCACAGGGAGCCTCAGCCCTCTTTGACATGATCGAGTACTACGAGTCGGCCACTCACCTCAACATCTCCTTCAACAAGCACATTGGCACCCGAGGCTGGCAGGCTGCCGCCCACATGATGCGCAAGGTGGGCAGCCCTTGGACCCCGGCCACCAGCCAGTGGGATTTGGGAGAGAGCTGAGTTTGCCTCCCCCATGCCAAGAAGGGTGCCCGTCCCACCAGGCCCTCCCGTGTCCTCACTTCACACAGTGGAGGTGCCAGAGAGAAGAGGGCTCCTTCCACACCACTGCCTGTGGCCTTCCCCATACCACCTGGCATCCCCACCATACAACCAGAGCACACCTGCTGACCATGACCTCTGGGACACAAGGCAGGGCCCTGGGCAGGGCTAGCTGGGGCCAAACCTGACCCAGCCCCCACACCCTGTCCCCAGACGAGCTGCCTGCAGTACCTGGATGCCCGCAACACGCCCCTGCTGGACCACTCCGCACCCTTCGTGGCCCGCGCCCTGCGCATCCGCAGCAGCCTGGCCGTGCTGCACCTGGAGAACGCCAGCCTGTCAGGGCGGCCCCTTATGCTGCTCGGTGAGCCGAGGGAGCTGCAGCCCTAGGGACTGGGACCTGGATGGCCAGGGGTGTGTGGCCAGCCTGTCACTACTGCTTCTTTGCAGCCACAGCCTTGAAGATGAACATGAACCTTCGGGAGCTGTACCTGGCTGACAACAAGCTGAACGGCCTTCAGGACTCGGCCCAGCTGGGCAACTTGCTCAAGTTCAACTGCTCCCTGCACACGTTGGACCTGCGCAACAACCATGTGCTTGACTCAGGTGGGTGCTGCCGCCCTGCCCCAGGCAGCGGTGAGCATGGGCTGGAGCTCAGGAGGGCTTCCTGGAGGAAGAGGTGAAGAATTGAAGGAATAGTTAACATCATAACCTGTGGAGAGAGTGGCCCTGCAGGCTGGGCCGGCCCTCCACCCCCCAGCAGTGGACAAGCCCCAGGGAAGCGCTTGGCAGCGGTCCTGCGGTAGGACAGATGAGGATGTTGTAGAGGGGTGTGTGGATAGTGAATGAGGGGACGGACCTGTGAGGGCCTGGGAAGCCAGTGTGTCCCCGGTGGCCAGGCCTACGCTGCACATGTCACCCAGGCAACAGCAGGTGCTGCAGGGCTAGCTGACCCTCAGCATCGGGGGACTCGCCCGTCCTCCCAGCACATGCCCCCAGGCTACGCTCTGGAGTTTGTGTTGCGTACAGCACAGCAGAGACGGGGCGGGAAACTGGGCTGGTGCTTGACCAGGGTGGGTAGGGAGACCAGGGATTTGAGCCAAAGCTGGCAAGAAAGGCCAGGCACCCAGGGAGGCAGCTTTCTGGCCAGGGACCCGGGGACCTCTGTGTGCCTCAGGCCCAAGGTGGCGAGCAGGGCAGCAGGGCTGGTGCAGGAGGCTGGATGGAGCCATGTGTCACACCTCAGTGTGGTTCCCACACCTCAGTGTCCTTGTGTGAAGCTCCAGACTGAGCTACACACGTGCCCTGGCATGAGACTTCCCTCCCTTCGATCTTCCCAGGTCTGGCCTACATCTGCGAGGGCCTCAAGGAGCAGCGGAAGGGGCTGGCAACCTTGGTGCTGTGGAACAACCAGCTCACGCACACGGGCATGGCCTTCCTGGGCATGACGCTGGTGAGCGGCTCCCGCGGCCGGCTATGGTCAGCGAGCACTCAAGTGCGCGTTCAGCCCCGCTCCCGGCCTGCACCCCGGCGGCCCTGCTTGTGGGTTCCCACTGTCCTTTGTCTTCTCATCTTGGTTTGAAGGTCGTCGTTGACCAATTGGTCTCAGTGAAGTGGCCTTTTCGAGCAGCACCTCACTGTGGTGATTCCCTTTGAGCCTGCTCGCTGTTCAGGTTCAGAGTTTGAGGAGCTTGAAGGGCCCTTGGGGCCATAATCTCAGGGAGATGCCCACCCCGACACCATCCTCCACCTTCACCAGTCCCATGATCTGTTCTCTAGCTGCCCAGAGCTGCAGTCTCCTGTGGGGGTACGTTCCCAGGGTGAGAGGTTCTCTGTGAGTTAGAACCCGCCAGTCTGTTGTAAAGCTGCTTACTGTGCTACACCCAACTCCCCTCCCTACACCCCCACCCCCCACACTCCCAGCTGGCACCCAGGTTCATACACAGAGCCAGGCAGCGCACCTGGAGTCTGGAGGGAGCTGCGGGACTGAGGCATGGCCTTGGGGAACTGGGATTGTGTAGCACACACAGCGGCCAGACCTACAGTGGGCAGGGACCCCAAAACACCCCAGGCCTGGCCCAGGTGTTTGCCTCTTGTTCCGATTCTTCCCCGAGTTCTTCTGGGCCTTTAAGGCCCCCTGGCTGCCCCCCAACATGCTCCCGGCTCTCCCCCAGCCACACACTCAGAGCTTGGAGACGCTGAACCTGGGCCACAACCCCATCGGGAATGAGGGTGTGCGCAACCTCAAGAATGGCCTGATCAGCAACCGCAGCGTGCTGCGCCTGGGCCTGGCCTCCACCAAGCTCACCTGTGAAGGTGAGGGGCGGGCGGGCGGGGGCTCCCGTGGGTGGGCTGGGGGCGGCTGGCCAGGTGTGGGGCCCGTGGCCAGCCCCTGCGGTCCCCCTCCCAGGCGCGGTGGCGGTGGCGGAGTTCATTGCCGAGAGCCCCCGCCTCCTGAGACTGGACCTGCGGGAGAACGAGATCAAGACAGGCGGGCTCATGGCGCTGTCCTTGGCCCTCAAGGTGAACCACTCCCTGCTACGCCTGGACCTGGACCGGGAGCCCAAGAAGGAGGCGGTGAGCGGGCTCCCCTGCGGCGGGAGGCAGGGCTGGGGGGGAGCAGGCCTTGAGCTGCCTGCCTGTCGTGGGGGCAGCCGGACCCTAGCCAGGCCATTCTCTCCCGGGCCTCAGGTGAAGAGCTTCATCGAGACGCAGAAGGCCCTGCTGGCCGAGATCCAGAACGGCTGCAGGCGCAACTTCGTGCAGGCACGGGAGCGGGAGGAGCAGGAGCAGCGGCTGCAGCTGTCGGCCTCCATGCCCGAGATCTCCGTCACCGAGCCCCCGCCTGACGCCGAGCCGGCCACCGAGGCACGGGAGAACGGGGCCCCTGAGCCCGGGCCCGGGCCCGGCCCCGACTCGGACTCGGACTCGGACTCGGAGGACGAGGAGCGCGACGAGGCCGACAGTGACCAGAGCTCCTCCGCCCCCTGCCCCATCCTGGTGCCCCCGACGGACTCCCCGGACCCTGGGGACAGGACCCCCTCAGGCAGCCCCTCCACCCCCAAGGAGCAGCGCATTTCTGTGTCCAGCCCTGGCCGGGGCCACAAGGTGTTCGTGGTGACTCGAGTGGAGAGTCCGCCTGAGAGGCCAGCACTGCCCGCCCTCCCCGCCGCCGTCTCCTCACTGTCCCCCCTTTCCCCGCCTGCCTCCCCACCAGCTGAGGCCTACAGCTCCCAGGACCCGGAGGTGGCAGAGCCTCTGCCACAGCCCGAGCCCACTCAGTCAGGGCCGCTCCTGCCCAATGGCCTCAAGCCCGAGTTCGCCTTGGCCCTGCCTTCTGAGCTGCCCCCAGGGCTTGAGGCCAAAGCGGGCAGCTGTGGCCTGGAGCACGGTGAGCAGCAGGGTTTGGTGGTGGGGTGGGGAGCAATTTTTGAGCTGATGTGGGGGGCTGGGTGGGTGCAAGCCTGAGAAGGGCCACCCCTGGGTCCCTCAGGAGCCGCCTGTCTCTGCAGAACTGAGCTGCGCCAAGGATGAGAGGGAGCTGGAGGAGCTGCTGCTGGAAGCCAGCCAGGAATCCGGGCCGGAGACACTGTGACACTTTAGGTGAGGGAGGGGCCTCGGGGACCCCAGACCCTGACCTCTTCAACCCCTTGACCCCATAATCACTCACCTGATCCTGTTGCACCTCGCCCCCTTTTCCAGTTCCTTTTTTTCCAACCAGTCTTCAATGAGCTGAAGCCCAAGTCCTGGGACCTGCTGTCTCCCCTCAGCCTTCCTGAGGCCCAGGACGCCAGGGGGGGCCGCACCAGGGACCACCCCCCCTCCACAGCCACACTACGGGGCTGGAGCAGCAGGGCATGGCCCCAACATAAGCACTTCTATTTATGAATCCAGCCTCTGAGACTCTGGGCTGGGACGGACAGGAGGACCAGGAGGAGGCAGCCGAG